ATTTCCATCCCATCATAAGTCAATATTTCTACCATACAGATGGGAAAATTAAGGCTCAGAGAAGAAAATACATGCAGCTGAAGATAAATGACCTGGGGCTTTAGCATCTCCCAGCCCAGAGCTCTGTAGAAAACATCTTCTTTACATAACCAGTCGCTGCTTGACTTATAGGGAAATCCATTTGTGTTCCTACTACATAGAACAAAATAGGCATATTCCCCACGTGATGTGGGAGAATGAAAGTTTTGTAAACTGAGTGATGTCATGAATCAGAAGTCACAAACTGCAGCCCTACTAAGGGCATCTGTCTTGCAAGTGTGTTTTGTCTGGAGAGATAGATAGATAGATAGATATAGATATATATTTGTATGTATATATACATATACATATATGTACATATAAGCACATATATATACTTTTTTCCATTGGAATTATGTCCTGCATTAGTCAGGATAGTCTAGGTTATGCTGCATTAACAAATCATTGAAATATCAGGGGCTTATCACAGCAGAGGCTGATTTCTCTTTCCTAGTCCATAGAGTGCCTGGTCCACAGAGGCACACACAGACTGCCGATCAGGAAGATGCACCAATTACAACGTGACTTTCAGGGTTACTATAGCAGGGGACAGGAGAGCTGCAAGTATGTTGTGGCTCAGCTGAGCTGACCTGGGAGTGACACACAACACTTCCATTTGCAGAGTTAGTCACATAGGCCCCACAACTGCAAGGGCTGGAGAATATGAGTCATCACATAGTCACAGGGCCAGTCCATAGTCACAGGGCCAACCACCCAGCTTTAAACAGTAAAGTATAGCTGATAAAAATCCAGATTTCTGTCTTCTCCTGAAACACCAGAAGAGCTGCCCCTCTAGAGAAGGGATGTGTTACCCAACTCCCTGTGAATGCCACTGACCAGTGTCTCAGCCGAATCACCTCCCCACCCTGGACACGTGTTTTATTCCACCTATATATGCACAACTCTGGGAAAGTTGATTTGTGGGTACCTGTTGGGAAATGCTCTGTCTGGTTTCAGGAACTATAACCCCACCAACAGGCGGGAGGGCCCCAAGGCTGGAAATAATCAAGGAGGCCTTGGAGAAACAGGCTCCTGAGTAGACATAACCTGCTCCCTGCCCCCCTCCCCGCCCTCCAGCAAGGATGTAGCTCCTGCCTCTCTGCTTTGCCCTGTGATGATCGCTTGTTGATGACGGGTAACGTGTCTCATGCAGAGATAACAACCTAAGCCAGACATCGATCAGGTATGAGACAAGAAATTGGGGGACACGGAGAAAGGGCAAAAAGGCCTACACCCCTCTGCTTGGCTTGGACATGGCCGGAGTCCTCATTCTATCCAAAAGAAATCTCCTTGTCTCTTGGCGGCTCCCTCCCCCAACCTGGCTCAGGCTCGAAACAATACCAGGGTCAGTCCTAAACCAGATCTGGTGGTTCCCAGGGAAATCAGGCCTAAAAGTAAATTCTTTAAAGTGTGCTTTGTTCTTCCCTCAGAAGCTCTAGCCAGCCCCTGCTGTGAAGGAAATTTACATTATTCACAGACCCTAACCCTACACCTTTAGGCACTCTTATGTGTACTATGCTCTCATCTTTAGTTGTCTCTTGTTTACTAGTCTCCTCTCTGACCCATGTATATCAGTATGTTCCTGCCATTTGTTTTCTTCAAAACATCCCCCATTGTCTGTGAACATTAACAAATGGATGTAATGAGATAACCTGTGCATTCCTGTTACCTAGCCCCACTGATAACCTTTTCAATAAAAACCTTTGAACAAAGGGACTTGGGGCCTCCCCACTAGAGGGATGTGACACATCCCGTCTCCTGGCAAACAGAGTAGTGTTTACAATGACCCGTGTTTACTCCCCCATCCGTGACAACCCGCTCCCATCTCAGCTGGCTGGGAGGGTAGCCCTCTGATCCTGGAGCACCGTGCTCCCTGCAACACGCTCCAGTCTCCCCCAACCCCCGCCCCACTGCAGCAGTTGCTGCCCCACCCGGGACGAGCCGCTGCCCACAGTGGCGCTCTCCCTCGCACCACCCCATGCTACAGGTACCCACAGGGCTTTTTGTATTCATCTAATAATTTAACAGCTATTTATGAATCTCCTGCAATGTGTCAGTCTTGTGTTCAGTGCTGGAAACAAGTGCTTAGGCAGAAAAGCAACATCCCCGAAGCACTGTACTCCTCCCAAAGGAGTCAAAACAAGTGAGAGCTGGGGGCAGGAGCAGGGTGTGACTCCTTCCAGGAAGTGACTCCTGGAAGAGCTTACCTCAGGGCAGAGGACAGAGGGAAGGCTGGGTTCTGATTAGAGAACAGCATGAAAACCCAAATGGAGGGAAAGCCACAGAGACTTTTAGGGAAGCTGGGAGCAGCTCAGGAAGTCTGGAGCTCCTGACAGAGAGAGCAGCAAGTGGGGAGGAGTGGGAGAAGAGCCTGGTAAAGAGAGGCAAGAGAAAAACCACCTCCTGTTAGTTCTGGGTAAATGCAGCCCTTCCTGTATTGAGGTTGCCAAAGTGAGACATCCTTGTGTCATGCACTCACAGTGTTGAATGAAAACCCCAGACACCCAGCCTTACACTCAGAATTAAGCCAGCTTCTGGGTAGGAGGTATTTGAGGAAGTACCCTGAGCAGGATCCTGGCAGGTCTTGTTTTCCCTGGGAGAGCTGTGGTGCTAAGGAAGTGAAACCCTATTTTGAAATGGGCCTAGAAGAGTACAGCAGGGGGTCCCCTCCTCAGGCCCCATGGTTCCCCATGGGGTAGGGCCTTGTGCTGGCTAGAGCTGGGCACCTGCTGTCTCTTCAGGCTGAGATTTGCCTCACTCCACACAAAGGTAAAGGAGGTATTTATAGGATGATTCTGCGGTCACTGGGAAGCCCACCTCTCAAGTAAATCCCCTTTTCCATACCAACCATGTATCCCCCGTCTCCAGAATCAAGTGCTAATGCCAACAGAGAAGCAGGCTCACGTTGGCTGTTAGTGGTGTCAAGCAAGCAGGAAGAGAGTGTGCTGGACTTGTCAGAGTCAGTGCCCAAAGGGACAGAGCACTCTGCAGGGACAGGCTATTGCCAAGGATAGCAATAGAACAACAGTTGGACCCACAGTAACATTTGAACACACACAGGCCAGGAAGATGTAGCTGAGCCAGGTGTGTATGATCAGATGTAGGGGTTTTGTGAAGGAACCACCCTCAGTGTGAAAGACAGGCTGTGCACCCTGTATGTGCCACCTCCCAGTTTTATCTAATTCATTTTATTCCTGGTTGCTACTTGAAAGGTGGGAGGTAGAGGCAGGGTCAATACTGGAGAGAATGTGTGAAGTTATTGCTAACTGCCCAACACATAAAGGGCCTCGATAAGAGAGAGTCCTCAGCCAGAGTAAGGTGGGGAGAGTTAGAGAAGTAAGAACTCATGCAAAAGATGCCAACAAGATAGAGAAAGCTTCAGTGGATTTATCCTCATCAGAGAAACCCCGGAGTGTTTGGGAAGCTCCACAAACCTTTCCAAGTTGTGAATGGGAAGGTATATAGATAGTTTCCTGTGTGAATCCACTAATAATCTTGCAGGGCAGAGATTACCTCATTTTATAGATGAGAAAAGGAAAGCCAGAGGCATTCAACAAACTCAGAGTCTGGAAGCTTTGCTAGAAAAAAGGATAAAGATTTATTCTTAGCCTTAGGATTGCTCTGGGAGAGTTAGGTGACAGACAGGGTGATGGATGTAAAGTGATCTGAACACAGGTGCCAGGAGATCATCATGTCCCAGTGGTCTGGATAACAGATGTCAGGTCAATGTATATGTGAGTCCTTCAGGGGGTAATTAGAGGGTTACCTGGAGGCCCAGATGTATATCTAGGTACTGGCACAGGACTGGGAAGTTCCAAAAAGTTTAAGTTCCCAGGTTAGAAGAAAAATGGAGTCTTTCCACATGCCTCAACCTTCATAATGTTAGTAATTTTCGCAACTTAAAGTGATTCCATTTTATATATTCCCTATCTTCACTCTTTTCTCAGGGGGTTAAGTCACTGTCCAAGATCAATATATTATAGAAAAGGACTTAGAACAGAATATGGGCTCTAAGTGCTTGTGTTCAAACAGTGGGTTTGCCTCTTATTTACTGGGAATCTTGGGCAAAGTTGTTAACTTCTGTCCATGTTTTCTCATCCACAAAATGCAAATAGGATGATATTTACCTTAAAATGTTGTAAGGAGTAAATGAAATACAGTAAGCCCTCACTTAACATTGACAATAGGTTCTGTGCCTTTAGGTGAAACATGTGAAGAAACCAATTTCACAATAGGCTAAATGATATAAATAAGCGTTAAGTTCCTACAGCATCTCATCAATGTTATAACAAAACAGTACTGATGAAACAACGTTATTTGAGGACCTGCTGTAATTCACAGAAAATGCTCCACACTGTCTGTGGCAAGTAGTGAACATGGTACCTATTAAGCCATCACTAGGATAGCTGGCCCAGGTGTGTTGACCCCAGCAGCAGGTACAGGCCACCCGCCCCGGGCTCAGTGGAAATGGAGGAGGTAAGCCTCTGCTGCTTTGAAGGTTTAGAGGAGTAGTTGAGACAGAAACCATTATTCAGGGTGTCCCAGCAGAGGGAAGGAAGCACTTGATCTGAAACATTTAGGACATTGATCCTGATTCCTAGGGATTGTGGAGAGGACTTTTTTTGGACTGGGGCTGATAGTTCATGGGGCTCAGCACTTCTGACCTTGGCCCACCAGGGAATGCTTGGCTGATGTGTGCGTGTGTCACATGTGTGGAACACTGTTAAGTCCTCTGGGCCTGAGCCTTCAGCTGTGGCTGTCCTCTGCCAGGGAGTAGGAGTGAGGTCGGCACTGGGGAATGGAGGGTTGGGAGGGTGGGGAGTTGCAAGATTGCCGTCCTCTACATTAGGGCCCTGGGTGCTGCACTAGCCAGTGCTCCTCCCACTCACCTGTCTGCTTGCTCTTCCTGGTCTTTCTGGCAGGTAACTTCCAGGTCTTTAGAAAGGAGGAGAAGATGAAGGAAGATTGTCCACATAGTTCTTATGTGCCCATCAGTGACAGCAAATCCATTCTAAAGTAAGCCTTTGCGCGGGGAGGGCTACATGCCTGCTGTCTCCTTGTGCCCACCCTGCTCCATTGGCAGCCTTTGGGTGGAGGGATTCTGGGTACTTTTCATAGATATGAGGTGTGCCTGCCCCAGGGATAGTGATGGGAGCACATTGTTGTTGCTGTCATTGTCTCTGAAGCCTGTCTCTTTGGAAATCAAGGATCTCTCCGGGGTGTGGGTTTGACCTTTGCCCCTCTGGTCCACAGAAGCAGAAGAGTATGACAATAATCACTGTGATTCTGCAGAAATGTTATTTACTTAAAAACTAGAGCAATACTGAAAAACAAACCAAAAATAACTAGGGTAATACTAACACTCTTGCTGTATGTTAAACAGTTAAAAGAAAAAACCCCTCAAAACTAGTTCTGAATTTTTACTGACAAAGTATATGTTATGACATAATAATTTTTAACTTTGCCTACTCTTTTTTAACTCTGACTCATTGTAAAAATGTTTAGGATACTCTTTAAAATTAATTTTTAAAAAATATAGTTGTCATTTTATCTTGCTTTTTGATTTCTGAGCCTAAATGTTTTCTAATTTGGGGCCTCCTATCTGCCATACTGAGGACAAGCCATCTCCTTGACATGGACTCACGTGCCCTGGGGCCCTACACCCTGGCGTCCCCCTATTAGAGACCCTGAGAAAACAAGTGGCGTTCCATTGTGTATCATTTCACAGTGCTACCATACCATCATTTTTCTTATTTAAATTTTATAAGAACTATTAAATATAATTTTTGGAAAAATCAGAATCACCACAACATGATTAATTTCATGTATATATAGCCTAATAATCTTGTTTTCAGCATTCACACACTTTAAGCACAGTGAATATGCAACATTGAATCCTTCATTACTGCTGCCATGAGGTTGTAAATCTGGTCGCCTGGGAGTTACCATCAGTCCCACATTACAGAGTGGGTGTTGTTCATCCAGAGTTTGGGGTTATTCCAATACAGGTGAAGGCACTACCTACTACCTGAGAAAGTTCTAGAGCTGCACTGTCTAGCAGGGGAGCCACCAGCTGTGTGTGGCTGCTAAGCATACGACCTGTGGCTGGAGAGGTGTCGTTCATTTAAAACCATGCTCCAGGGGGACAAAAACTTCTTATATGAGGTGTGCCTGCCCCAGGGATAAAATAATAAGCAAGATGTCATTAATATTTTTACATAGATTACATGTTGATATGGCAATATTTTAGATATATTGGGTTCAGTAAAATGTGTTATTAACTCTAATTTCACCTGTTTGATTTTCCCTTGTGTTGTGGCTACAGAAGATTTAAAATTACATCTGTGGCTTGCATTTTATGTCTACTAGACAGTGCTGTCTTGCAGAGCCCAGCTAGGGTACAGACAACTGTCATTGTCTTTTCTCCGCCACACAACAGCCAAGGCACAAGTGTGACTTTGCCCTTTATTCTGGGGAGAAAGCATTTGGGCAGAGCGGCCTCCCTAGGGCCTTTTGGGGTCTTTCTCACCACTGTCATCTTCATCCCTTGATCATACCTCCAGGAAGTCAGGATGAAAAAGAGACAGGCTATCCTCATGGTGCCCCCACAAGAAGCCATGCCAGGCCCTTGTAAGAAATATTGATAATATGGGAGAAAAGCAGAAGGCTTTAAAATGTCAGTAATCCAAGCCCCAGGGATTTATTTGAAGAAGTGACTCAAGTAAAGTACAGGGAGGCTGTCAGGAACTTTTACCCACAATAATGGAAGTGTGCAAACACCCTAGATGTGCAGTGATGTGGTCTATCTGTGAGTTTCTCTTCCCTCTAATTCCTCAGCCTTCCATGAGGGCTGATAAGTGAAATCCTCAAGAAGACTGAAGGGCGTGTGTCCAATGGCAGTCTGGTCTCTTAACCAATCATGTGTGGCCAGCACAATGTGTACTAAAATGCTCATTCTACATATGAGGAAACTGAGGCCATTGCTGCTCAGATTTTGACATTGACTATAAATGTCAGCTAAAACAAATAAACAAACAAACAAAAAAAAACCCTGGCCACACTCCAGAAGTATGTGTGTGTGTCTTTCCCTTATTAGGTCGGAGCTATTAACCCTGCTAAAAACCTACAACTGCTACCATGAGGGCAGAAGTTTTCAGCTGAGACACCGAGAGGTAAGGCCTCTTTCTTATCTTTATTCATAGAGTCACCGTTTGCAGAAAACAGTCCCAGTTTATACCTGTTATTCCAGGGTAATTATTAAAACCATCCTCTTTACTTTCAGAAGAGAGTGTTTGAATAACGAATCGTGAGGTCACCTATCCTCTGAGTTGAGGACCATGTGACTAGCAGCCAGGATCTCTCGATGAGGTCCCTAAAAGGGGTGCTGAGGGTCAGAATATCCCTGCGAGAATTCAGAGCAGGTGAAAATCATCTTGTGGACCTTCTCCTTCCAGCTGAAACTCTTCTCTAGGTGAATTGCCAGGACATTGGAGTTTGAAATCTTTGAGACCACTCATCCCACAACACAAATAAGGAACTCGGCACAGGGCTCTGGCATGCCCAACATCACAGGACCATTGATTCATGAAAGGAGTCTGTGCTTGTCAGTCGTCGATCAGAATAAACGTAAGAGGAAAGGCTTGAAATGGAGGAGAGCTCCCCAAAGGATGCTCACAGGGCTAGGCAGGTCCAAATGTGAAAGGCTGGGCTGGCGTAGGGAGTGGAGGACCTGTGAGAGCACAGGTCCCACCTGCAGGCTTGCTGCTGCCCATCAGATCAAACCCACTGATGCTGTGCAGGAATGTGGCCTGGCACACTCAGACCTTTTCTGATATCTCAAAAGAAGCTAGCTATCTGTAGTTTCATGTGGAATTTCCCAAACCTCAAAACCCCGTGTGGGATAAACAAAACATGTATGTAGGACTCCAGGGAATGGGCAGCCGAGCCCAGGCTCAGGAGCCCCTCACTGAGCAGATCAAGTAGAGGCCTGGTCTTGCCACCTTTTAGAACCTTCAGACCTTTCACCCTTCAGGTTAGGGAATTGGGCCCCACCTTGGTCTAACTCAATTTATTTCTGAAGTCTTATTGTGGTAAGGTTTTATTTGGGGGTGATTTCTGAGGTTGAGATCAGGTGACTCCCAGACTTTCTCTGGCCTATCAGTGTCTGATGAGAGATAGCAGCCTCTGAGTTCCCCTTCTGCTGTTGAACATGAGTATGGGCAGTTCAAGCCTTCATCAACCCAGACACCTCATCTAGGTAGAAGCCACAGCTCATCTCCATTCCCTTTAGCTAGTCAAACAGCCACACATCCTTCTGCAGGTCTCAGACTAGAGGGTGAGCCCTGATGTCCGGGAAGCTGTGGGCAATGGGGGGTCATCTATCAATGGCATGAAGGAAGGCCAACTAAAACCCATCTGCCAGACCACATTGCTTGACCACCTGAGATACTTGGTCAGCCAAGCCGGTATCACATGGTTCAGGAGCCTGGACAAGAGGGAAGCTGCTGGCTCCTGGTCCAGGCAGTGCTGGGCTGTCTGTGACGACCTGATCGGTAGGAACCTCATGCTCCACCTCACCTGCATGGGGCCTGGGCCACTGCTGATAATTTGTTCCCCTCTCTGTTCTGCCAAGTGCTTCTTGGCTCGTGCTCTTCTCTCTGCAGAGTAGTCTCTCCTACACCAGCCCCACCTAACCAAGCATCTTACTGTTGCATCTGAGCTCTGATCCCACTGCTCTGTTGTCTCTGGTTTCACTGTTTGTTTTCTTACTTTAGTAGAAGCCCCCAGAACTGGGCCTGCCTGCCTGCCTGGTTCTGCATCCCCCATGCCAGGTCCTGTGCATAGTGTGGTCCTGGGCATAGGAGTTTGATGGTTAGCCAGCAGGCCTGGGGTGAGTTGGGCTGAATTCTGAGCTCCAGTGTGCTGGGCAGTTAATGACCTGTGCTGCTGAGTAAGGATTTGGGCCCACCTCGGTTCTTGTGTTGACGGCATGGGGTGGGGTCTTCTGACTGAGCCCTGTTTCTCAGCTTTGGGCCTTTCAGGGATTGATCTAAGATCATGGTGGCTCTTAACATGTGGTCCCCACACCTGCAGCTTTGGCATCACCTGGGAACTTGTTAGAAATGCAGTCCTTCCCACCTTCCTTCCCCCAGACCTGATGAGTGAGAAACTCTTTATCATCCCATCTGTGTTTTAAAGGGCCTCCAGAGAACTCAAGAGGAAGGCCACTTTCGAGATCTGCTAATCTGAGCTTGGTCTTGGCACTTCGGATTCCCCACAACAGACCCCTCTGTAGGAACAGCTGTGTGGGGAGCAGGGCTCGGAAGCTCCGAACCTGTGCCCTGTCTTTGTGTATGATGGGACAGTCCTCATGAATAAGTGGGAGACCTCACAATGGCAAGAGGTGCTCCTGAAAGCCCCCAGCAAAGGGACTCAACATCCTGCAAAAAGGATTTTCATGTTCCCAACCCTAAAAACAGTGTGAGGGTCTGACTTGGTCTCCCTGGAGCCAGAAACTTTCAGAAAACTTCTGCAGCCTTAACAGCCAAGCGGTGCCAGCCTGAGGGAGTGGGCATCTTTGGTGAGCAGTCACCAAAAAGTTCAGCTGTAGCCCTGGCTGGTGTAGCTCAGTGGATTGAGTGCCAGCCTGTGAACCAAAGATTGCCAGTTCAATTTCCAGTCGGGGCACATGCCTAGGTTGTGGGCCAGGTCCGCAGTAGGGGACACATGAGAGGCAATGATGCATTGGTGTTTCTCTCCCTCTCTTTCTCCTTCCTTTCCCCTCACTCTAAAAATAAATAAATAAAATCTTTGTAAAAAGTTTTTTTAAAAAAGTTAGGCTGTAGGCACAGGAGGCATGGAGTTGTGACACTGAAATGCATGAATGGTTCCTGGGACACCAAGTCCCCTATACCCCACCCGCAACCCAGTGTTCGGACCTATGCTGTTTTTAAGAATGCAGACCTGGGGCCTCCTGGACCTTGTGGATCTCGTGGTTCTAAGCACTTGCTGCAGCACCACCTCAGGCCAGCCTCTCCTTGGGCACTACAGGCCCTGGGGGCAGGGCAGACAGGCACCAGGCACTCCATTTTATTCTTTGTAATACAAGAGCTTTGCAACATAGGAGCCACCATTTTCCAGACAGAGATTAAGGCTCTCAGAATTTGAGCCTGTCAAGCAAGGTGACACAGCAGTAAGTGAAAGGTGCTGGCATAGCCTGAGGCCTGAGCACAGCTGTTTCCAATACAATGTTTATAATACAGAATACCACCACCAGCATTAAGCAGGAGCACCCCATCTAAGGCTTCCCCAGGCTGTCGAGGGGCTCAGCACCAGGTGTGCCCTCACAGAGCCATGTGGAGCCCTTGAAGAAGACCCCTCCTCTTTTGTCACTGGGCCTCCGCGGGAGCAACTGCGGCCTGACTGCTACAGTTTGGGGAAACTACTTCTCCACTGTCCTATCCAGGGCCCATAGAACTTGGAAAGATGAAGTGTGTCATTAGTCAGGGGCCAGGGACTGTGATTGGGGTACAGGTCCTGAAGAAACCGGTGTAAGTATTCCCTGGTGAGGCAGCCAAGGCACTAGCTTCCTCTATTGTGAACCTTGCCTTTGGGATAATGAAAAGTGGGAGCCACTGAGAGCAATCTGCACCTTTTAAAGATAGCAAAACATTTTAACCAGGCTAGTTGGTGGTTCAAGAGAAAAATGGACAACCAGTGGGTAAATTCATCACTAATTACTAATTGTGTGGACAGTAGGCAGTAGGACCCTCATGTCCTTGTGAATGTGTGTATGGCCCCTCTGAGAGCTGGCCCCCGACCCAACCTTGTGATCAGCTCTCAGTGGGCCCAAAGCTCGCTCTCTCTCTGATGGCCCTGGTCAGGCGCTACACCCAGTCTCTATCCTCAACCACAAGCCCTTAGCTCAGACTAAGAAAGGTAATGATGGGTTTTGGACAGACGACTGGCCACTGGGTGAATGTTTGGCCGTGGACATGTTCCCTTGGAGCTCCTCAGTCATCCCAGCCTGCCCCAACCCCCGGATGGGACATTGTGTCCTTCCCTCCAACAGTAGTGGGAGGATTACTCTGAGACTGCTCTGTAAGCTGTCCCCTACCACAAGAACTTTCTTGAGGCTGTTCTGTCCTGCAATTCAAGAGCTTGGGACACTGCATGCCAGAATCCCCTTCCCCAGCCCTGCATTCTTTTTTTCTTTTTTCTGGCACCTTTTGAAGGTACCATTAATTTCTTTCACATTGAGAGATATTAGCAGAGGAGATCAGAACCTGGGGTCTCCTCACCCCTGTCTAACCTCCCCAAATATTACCTTGTGGTCCCTGAGCTTGGGAGGATTTGGCCAGGTCAACCTAGTTCCCTCCCTCTGATAAGTTTCATGCTGCTTCACAGAGGGGCTGCAGTGAGGCTAAGCCCAGTGATCCCCCCCAATGCAGTCACCAGCCAGGTTCAGTAGGTCAGCCTCCTCTCTACCTCCTAAAGATACTCTAGCTGAAGGCACTTCCACGCAGATTCTGCCAGAGAAGTTTGAGCCATTGACACAGCTGGTGTGACAGATGCAAACATTTGTATGCAGTGCTTATAACTCAGTCTCTAAGTTAATTTGTCCAGTTCCTCAACTCCTATAAGGTATAAAGAACAGGCATTAGTCTGCATTTAAAAGGTAAGGAAACTGAGAAATTGTTTGTCTGAAACTTTTTCTTTTAAATGTATGGTTTACATTCTGCCTCCCCACAGAACACATAAAAGAAAACGGATAACATTTTAAAAGTCCAAAACAATTTAAAAATAGCTTAAAAAAAAAAAGAAAGAAAGAGAAGAAAGTTTGATAGTCCACAGAGCAAGGAGGCAGAGGAAGCTGAGGCAGGCTGTGAGCTTAGCTGCAGCCCCAGCTATGCCCTCTCCTCCCTGTCCCCGTCACCCTGACCAGGGTTGTGGCCCAGCCCAAGGGAACAGGGTGACACGTTCTCAGGCCTGATTCTTTGGAGTTTCCTGATGTGTCACCTACCTCTCTGAGGAGGGAAATCTCTCTCCCCTAATCTTCACCCTCATCTCCTTGCTTGCCAGATGCCTTGAGAAAATGGGGTTTTGCCATTTCCTGGGGGACCCAGGACTGACCCAGGATGCTCTGGGCCTAAAGATATATGGAGTAAGGCCTTGACACCTTGACTTGCCTGAGAACAGGGTAGCTAGACAACATCCTGCACCCCACAGTTAAGGTCCCTGGGTGGGAGCAGGAAGAGGTAGAGATGGGAAGGGACAGGACGACCTTGTCTAGTCATTTGGCACCCTGCAGGCTGAGTTGATACAGGTTCTGTCTTTGCCTTAAGCCTGGAGAAAACTCTCCTGATAATACAACAGAATTTGTAAGCTGGAGCCATTGAGGTACTCCCCAATGCAGCAGTGGCAGGTCCCCCTGAAATGGAGTGGGGGCATTTGCTAAGACCCCATGTTTTCTCTTGGGCCTCATGGAACCCGACTCTGAAGGTGGAGGCTAGGGGGCAACCTTGGGAGTACCCAAGGTCTCACTCTGAAACCACTGGGGACTCAGATCTTGCTTCTCCTTGCCCCACCAAGCTCATTTCCCCACATAGGCAATAGCTACTTTATGTATGGACATGTGTCCATGATATATCTGAGTTTTATCCCATTTACTCTTCAGAGCAGCCTAGGAGGCAGTTCCCATTAATTATTCCCATGTTATCCATGAGAAAACCGAGAAACAGAGTTATTTAGTAACTTGCCCAAGGTCATCAGCCTGTAAGGAGCAATGCAAATGGGACCAGTAACACAACATCATGTGAGGCAGGCTGTTCTTACTGTTCAGAGTAGGGTCTCACTATGACTGCCAGAGTCAGCAGCCCCTGCAGAAACTCATTTCCCTCCCAGAGACATGGGAAAATGGAGAGGTGATATGGACCAGCTTTCTCTGTGCAGAAGCCTTTATTGGGGAGGGGTCAGAGTTCATGGGTAACTGGGAGATGCAAATAGAGGGATCTGAGAACACTGCTGGGGCAGAAGCTTGGCGGGGAGGCTGCAGCCCGGATGGTTTGCCAGGAAGTGTGGGGGCCGTGGTTCCAGTCCATTAGCGGTCTCACCAGATAGTGCCCAGGTGCCCTAGGATCACAGAGTTTCCCTCTGAGTGTCCCCCAGTCTTTGCTTCTATCCATCTGTCTGTGAGGACCCCAGGGACCAGTCCTCCTTGGCAGGTCCCTCCATCTCTGCTGCTTTTCCTGACCAAAAAGCCAGTCCAGGGGATCTCCGATACTGGCTGCAGGCAGTGGGGGATGCTGGCTGCTGAAGCAAACAGTGGTGTCCTGCAGGGACCCAGCAGGGCTCTTCTTTTCACATTCCTGGGCTGGCCAGTGGGGTCTGCTGGGTTGGACCCTGGCTGCAGCCTCGTTCAGCTCTGAGGTGGGCTGTGCCAGTTGACAAAATGGACCTCAGGTAGTCATCCAGGCTAGAGGAAGCCAGGGATTCCTACCCGGGCCCCATAGGCAGCATCTCCTCCCAACTCTCCCAGATTGTGGGTAGACAGGCAACAGAAAGCAGAAGCCAGAACCTCATGGCTGCTGACAACAGGGAAGCATAAACCTGTTGGTTGACAGAGAACCAGAGGTGAGGGTCTGCCATGCCACTCCTATTTCCCCCACCCCTGCCCCAGCTGAGGCTGCCTGAGAACAATTTGAAGTCTACAGATCAAAGGCTAGGCTCAAATTCCTTGGCTCCTCCTTTCTGCTAACATTAGAAGCCCATGTACTTATGACTCTATCATTATTGTTGTTTAAGAACTGTGCAAATAAGAGAACCCAGCCTAACAGACTGGTGTCAGAAGAAACCTAGGTTTAAAACCAGGATCTGCCAATTCCTGACTTGGGGACCTTTGGCAGTGTCACCTCTCCAAGCCTCTACTTACTCATCCATAAACGGGGTTGAAAATACCTGCTTCACAGGGTTATTGTGAGAAACACAGGAATGACACTTCATATGAAATCCCTTTAAGATATAAAGCCCCCTACAGTTATTGTCACTACCTTTAACTGCACTCTGGTCTCTAAGCCACACTGAGGTCATGCAAATCCCAGGCTTAGGACTGCCCTGGAAGATACACAAAGCCGTTTTGTTTTATCTCAAACCAGAGGGCAGTTGCTCTCTCTTACCTTTAACTGGGAGGACCTGAGGGTAGCAGAGATGCTGGATGGGCAAGGACAATCCAAGGGAGGCTTTCAGGAAGCTTGGGGCCTAGGGGTCGGGGTCCAACAGTTGGAGCCCTGTGTCCCGGGTCAGATTGTCAGGAGCAGGACAGTGAAGACAATGTGTCACAGTCCAGAGCAGAAGCCTCCCTGAGCTATCTGGAAAAGCTTGAGGCCCTGCAGCTTTTATATCTTTCCAGTAGCCATCAATTCCTGTCATGAGAGCCCAAAATAGCAGTGTTCAGGAAGGTTCTCAGGAGAAGAGCTTGGGGGGTGGGGCCTGGCCCAGCTGCCAGCCTGGAGCAAGTGTTTATGCCTGTGGGAGACACTGGAAATGTTTACTCTGCACTCTGCAAGGCAGTAGGGGTAGGGGGGAGTATTGGGGGGAGAGGGAGGCATAGGCACAGGCTGCTGTGAGAGACAGCCCTAGGATCTGCTACCACTACCTAGAAGCCTTTCCCCACTGTATTACACCAGCACCCTGCAACTCTGAGACACTCTAGCCTACTGCTGGTTACATGGGCTGGGGGGCTGGCCATGTCTTAGGTAGTGAGTAAAGCAACACAGGCCCTCGAAAAAGGAGCCAGCTTGGAACACTGGGGGTAGGTTCAGCCATTAATGGGAACAATGTGGGGAAAAGGGTGCGGCTGTGACCTAGCTCTGAGGAACCACCACCTCTGCTCTGGTAGGCGTGGAATCCAGCACTCTCAACATGTTTCCAGTGGGACCTGGTGACCATGGGACCCTGACCCAGACACAGCTGTGGGTGGAGAGGCACCCTGTATCATCTTGATGTATACACACTGTGCTTCCCTAGACCACATTTCCTTCCCTGTGTGGACATGCCATTAGATAACAGTTGGGTTCCTGCGGGACACCTGACTCAGCCACTCTGTCCCTGGCTGTGCCCCTGGCCAGGTGTGGGCCAACCAGTGAAAGGATATGCTTCAGGCTTCATTTGGTTGGTTCTGCGGCCTTGTGCCTTGGATCACATAGAAGTTCGTGGGTTTCCTCCAGGGCAGGACCCCAAGTAAGAGGGTGTATTTGGGAGCTTGAGCGTCCAGGGCGTCCCATGTCCAGAGGGCTGGGTGCTAAGCAGCTGAGGGAGGGTAGGCAGTGACTCCTGGGAGCAGGTCCTCTTGGGGAAATGACTGACCTGTGTAGGTTTCCACAGGAAGAAGGGGCTCTGGTCATCGAGGGGCTCCTCAACATTGCCTGGGGACTGAAGCGGCCCATCCGGCTCCAGATACAGGACGACAGGGAGCCAGTACACCTCTCCTCAGCATCGTGGGTGCCTGGACAGTCCAGCTGCCACCTGTGAGTATGGTTTGGGTGAGGTGTGGCCAGGTGGCCTCCATGACACCAGTTCAACCTGAGTGTACAGTTTGGACTGTCAGTGGACAAAGCCCCACTCCTGGATGGGGCACAAGGATGGGAGCATCACTCAAGTCTCACCCCTGTCACCTCATGACTGCCTCAGCCACGGCCTCTCCTGCCGACATGCAGCCTCACTGCAGGGTAGTCTTTCTAGATGACCCAGGTCACTTCCCTCTTGAAGATTGTTCCAGGTTCTTACCACCACCAGTTTTGTTTCTCAAACATTCACATGAACCACACTGTCTACAAGAAAGGGCTATAGACGGGCGGTCCCTCTGCAAGATGAACACTGCTCAGCATTTCCTGTTCTGTCTTAAAAATTCACACAAATTTAGCCTCCTACTGCTCTGCTTTTATTTTAATATCAGAATTTATTTTTATCAATTTATTAAAATGTAATACCATTTTCCTCTTCAAATATTCAAGTATACTTGCTGCTCTGAGGATCCTTAGCACATTGACACCCTTGGTGCATCCTCAGGGGCTCCTAGTCAGCAAATTTTGAGCAACACAGACTTAAAGCATAAAGTTCATTCACATGGATGCCTTAAAAAGGCTGCAGGTATGACTTGTTTCCCACTCCCAGGGTTAAAGCAGTCACAGAAAGCAGGAACTCAGAGGCCTCTCAGTGTGGATTCAGCTCCTCTGTCTGCTCCTGCCTGGCTCCTTCATGTTATGGGGCTGCTTCCCATCACACCTATTCCTTCTCCAGCTCAGAGGCCCAGGGGCCGGCCTCCTGAAGGTTGGCCCTGCCCAGCTCTCCTCCAGGCCTGAGGGACACCAGAGCCCACTTGGCACATGGCAGCAAACATTGGCCCACTTCAGCCTGGTGCCCAGGTGCATGTGCACACTGCTGCGTCCATATGCCCATGCAGTGTGGCAAAGCAGAGACTGTTTAGGTCTTCAGAACAGACTCCCTCTTTTTTCCAGCAGACACTGTGGCAATACTGTGCTTTTCTTTTAATATTTTAATATTTTGATTCTTTCGGTGTGAAATGCCAGCCCCAACTCAACTTATCCTGCTTTTTGCCTGTGTCCTCTCTGCAGAGGCAGCTGCCTCTTCCCTTTGGCCTCAGCTACTTTTCTCTGCCAGCATTATTATTATGTCTTTTCAGAAACGAGCCACCTCTTCAGGATGGCAGGGTCCCTGCCCAGAGGCCAAGCATTCAGCCCTCTGAGCACAGGGCTGAGAGTTCCAGAGACAGCTCAGGTAGGCAGAACCACAAGCTGCCCAGAACCCTGTCTCACCCTGGGTGGGAGCAGACGGCTTGGCTCATAGTCCCCATCTCTGAAGAACAGCTCTGTGGAGTAGCAGAATGGCTTCATCTGTCTTCAGGAGCAACACAAGACCTTCTCATTGAAGCCTTACTTACAGAAAAAGAAGCAGAGGCTTGCAGAGGTGATGTAGTTTGTCAGTGACCTGAGTCCCCTGCACCATGCTGAGTTATAGAAAGAGAGAAGAGTTAGCACAGAGCCTGGAGCCCTCCTGGACTCGCAGACCTCTAGGACCCCTCCTCACACTCTGGGATTTGTAACTGCTTGTCTGTCCTCTCCATGCGCTCCCCTCATACTCAGCGAAGGACCTGTTCAGAGAATAAGGCTGGGCCTTATTCTCTGGGTGCCCAGAGACAGAGGCCCACAGGCTATGGCAATGTGATGTGGTAACACAGGTTATCCTTCCTGGGGGTCACCTTTCCTGTAGGCAACCTGGGCATCACCCAAGCTAGACCCAGCCTCTGTCACGGAAACAGCATTCACATTACCATCTGCTGCAGCATGGTGCTACCACAGGGCTCTAGGGAGCTGAGCCCCATGCACAGTACAACCACTAGAGCACAACAGTCTTCTGTCATTGTTACTCTACCTGGGCCTGACCCTGTCATCATTTCTCACTGCAGAGCCCCTGGAGGAGGACAAGGAGATCCCACAGTTGATGCGTACCAAGAGCGATGCAGCCTGTGTGATCCAGAGGAGGCCCAGGTGCCGCACTCCTGGCGAGACCCAGAGGATCCGGCGACACCGGTTCTCTATCAATGGGCACTTTTATAACCACAAGGTGACATCCCAGCCTTGCCTCTCCCCTGGGCCCTGAAGCTGAGGCCACGGGGAGCCAGCTCAAACATGGGCAAAACTGTCGGGCCTAGGCCCCATGGTGGCTATGTCAGAGTTTACCCTCACCACCTCCCTGTGTGTAGGTGCGGCCATTCCCATGTGGAAAAACAGAGCTCATGGGGAGAAATATCTTGCCCAAAGTCACATCAAAGTAATATTCCAGTTCATGACCTGAAAGCCTCTCCCTGTCTCCCTGTCTCTCTCAATAAATAGATGTCTAAGCAATTTATATATATATATATATATATATATATATATATAAAAATTATACATATATAATTTTTTTTTTTTTTACCACAGACTCACTGTCAATCCATTCTCACAAGTTGTATGGATTTTTGGCAAGTCTATCTTTAGTCCATGCGAGGTTTATCTTTAGTTAGACAATTTCCTATGAGGCTTTCATCAGAGCTCAGTTTCGTGGTGATATCACATACCTTAGTGGCATTTTTGCTGGGTAGACTGAGCCCACTAGGCTGAGGTGTGCCCAGGGGCACGTGTTGCTGTGTCCAAAGAACTTGCACTGCTCCTGATTCCCAGCACTTAGCCTTTTGTCCAAGTATATATTTTACTGAGCTCAGGAAAAGATCTCCTTCCCCAAATGACATCATTCCATAAATAAAATGAACTTTAAGAGGAGAGGTTGATTGTCACTACAAATGGCACAAGTGGCAGTTTGGATGAGGCCCTGGGCGGCTTGTCCTATAACAGAGCCACATCCTGAAGCCCCGGGTAATGGAAACGAGGCTTTCAGTATAAACAGCAGCCCTTCTTGACAGGCAAGAACTAATGAGCAGGGGAGGGAGGGCTCAGGGTCAGATCTGAAGAACAGCAGCACAGGTTAGGCCTGCCAGGAGCCACTGGTGGGGTGGCCTGGACTTCAAGACAAGGAATTCAGCAGGGCAAACTGACAGGACCCTGCTTTATTATCAGGACCTCCCAGCCACTCCCTGCTAGGTTTACCATGAGTGTTAATGAGTGACAACAGATTATCTTTGCTCAGTTGAGAAAACTCCAGGACTATTTGAGAGTAGAGTCTCTTGAAAGAGTGAAGGGAGAGCCAGGAGTGAATTTAAGCAGATTAAGAATGGTTGAGTTAGCAAAAACACTGCATGTAGTAAATCCTTCTAAGGATTTGGGTATTCTTTAAATTTTGTTCCAAAGGGGTTTAGTCTGTGAAGTATTAAGTAAGCACCAGTACCTACTATTGGAATACATAGTGATAAGCTATTTTAAGGAATTAGTCAAAAATTTAAAAAAAATATATTTGCATGGGTTTAGGCTCTTTCTGGTTTTACATTTCTTAAAAAAAGGAATCTTTTGTTCTACAACTCTAGGTGCCAAATAGTGGGGTTTATCTTTGGTACATTTACCCCTCCTCTAAGGCAGTCACTCATCTCTGAGAGGTATGTCTAGCTCATTAAACTTTATTTTAGCGATTGCAAATGTTACAGGGACATGGAGAAGTCTGAGCAATCTGTAGCCTTTGAAATGAACAGAAATGAGCAGCAGGGCTCTCATCACAGCCTTCCATGTCCATTGGAACCACTGCCAAGAGGGGCTCCTCAGCCAGCCAGCCTGGAACTGGGCACACTGTCCTGTAACCAATCAGAGATTTACCTCCTAGTAACAGATTTACTTGTGGAATGTGGGTCTGTTCTTCCAGGAAAATTGACTACATTCTAAGACATAAACTAGTATCTCAGGCATGTTAGACAGTGGATTCACAACTTCTGGATAAGGAAGGAACTCCAAAGAGAAACACATGCAAAGCCCTCTTTCTTACCTTGGCCTAGATCCATTCAGAATTAGTCCTCTTAGAAATCAGATGACAAAATGTTTCAACCACAGGCAACAATTTTTTTTAATTCCTAGAATTGACTTCCTGGAGTTGTTATTCCAGGTTTTATTTCTTAGAACTGTGTACTCTTATGTCACTCAATAATTTTCCAAAGCTGTTCTGATTCACAGTAATGTTGGTTTGATTTCCAGACTGGGTAAAGCATGGTATACTTCCCCCTGCTTTGCCCTGGCCTGTCAGATTCAAATGTGTTCAGCCAGAGAGAAAGCATTATGGTTAGAGATAGGAAGGCGACCCAGGACCCTTCTTCCCACTTGGAGCTCATTGGTGTTGTCTTGAGAAAGGCTTGAGGAGAAAGCACTAGCAATGTCTTGTTGACAAGAATCTTTCTCTTCCTTGAAATGGCCTGGCTCTCCTTTTCCATATTTGTTGGGAACTGAAGGCCTAACCTGGCTTTGTGTGTGACCCAGAGTCATTCAACATCTTAACTGTGGAGAAGGCAGGTCCAGGTTTGTGTTTGGCTCTGGTACTTGGGAACCATCTGGGAACACAGAGCAAGTCCCTCACACACGCTAAGTCTCAGTTATATCCTGAGGAAAGCTGAGCTAGGGCCAGACAGCAGGATGTGCAAGTTTGAATTTGGTTTTGGAAAGCGAGGAGGAGCTCACCCACAAAAGAGTCGGACACACAGGGAGGCCCTAGTGCCAGGAGTAAAGCACAGGGCTTCAGGCAACTCTCTGCTTCCTGGATGGGTGACTCCAACAAGTTCCTTCACCTTTCCAGACCTCCATGTCCTCTTTATGAAAAGGGGACAAGAGACGGGTACTTCAAAGAGGTATTGTGAAGATTAAATCAAAGATTATAGGTAAAGTGCTTAGTAGGTTTACTACCTAGCTATTGTCCATTGAGGACTTATTAAACCTCAGGCAGTGCCCTGGTCGGCTTCATATGGGGTGTCTCATAGGCAAAGGCAATACCTGCAAGTATATAAACGGCCCTCAAACTGTGCTGAAACCATGTGGCTGGAGTACCGGGTGCTTTGAAGGGAACCATCGTCTCCCATCTGCATGACAGTAAGAGGAGCTGCAGACGGCATTGTGCAGGCAGTGGGAAGCCTTCAATACTTTTATCTAGAACTGTTATTTAAGGCAGTATTTTTCAAATTATACTCTACACATAGCATCACCTATTTTTTTCCTTAAAATGCATATTCTCTTTCAGGGGGTCCTGAGGCTGGACACTGATGCAGCTGGTTTAAAACACACTTTTGAGCAGCAGAGTTTTCAAAAGGTTATTCCTTTGGGCAGTAGTGTGGAGAATAGATGGAAAGGGCTGAGCCTAAAAGGTGAAAAGTTGGGAAGCTGATGCAGTGTGAATTGAGGGCCTTTACTCGGGTACCTCTGGGAGAATGGAGAGGATTGAACAGATTTGAGAAATGTCTGTCTTAGAATCAACAAACACTTGGTGAATTGATGGATAGAAAGTGTGAGGGAGAGAGTGGTTTCCCTTACCTTTTGTTATTCTTAGGATCAGGGAGTTGGCCCTTATAGCTTTGCAGACATCTTTCTTGGTAAGATGTGAACTGTTACAGCTTCCCTGAGTGTGCCCAGATATGGGCACAACTTTGAAGTAGATCTTTGTGAAAGAACAGGCACCAGTGTTTCCAGAGCCCCAGCTCGCCTGCTGCTCCACTTTCCTCAGCACCATCTTGCTGACAGTGCCCAGACCTGGAGTGATATCAGCCCTGTGTCCCCTCTGGTCCTGCCTTGAACTTTCCCCCTTCCCTGTACAGACTTCTGTGTTTACTCCTGCGTATGGGTCCGTGACCAATGTGAGGGTCAACAGCACCATGACTACCCTGCAGGTGCTCACCCTGCTGCTGAACAAGTTCCGAGTAAGTCCAGCCATGAACAGCCTTATCCCTGTGGTGGTGGTTTACCAGCTCTTTTGTTGTTGTTGTGTCAGAGAGTTGGTGAAGACTGGGGGAAGTTGCCTGTGGCCCATGGGTAGAAAGTCTAGCAAGGTTTTCTTTGCTGGTCTACTCTCTGGGATTTGAAACAGAGATGGGTGGGGTTGGAGTGGTCTTAGAAATTTGTATGATTGGCACTGGGTGTGGGGTTATTTCAAGGGTCTCTTTCTGTCTCTTGTCTTGAAAAATATGGTCTGAGTTCCTGTCTCTGCTGGTACAGGTGGAAAATAGCCCCAGTGAATTTGCCCTCTACATTGTTCATGAATCTGGAGGTGAGTGGCTGCCTTTGTCCCAGATCTTAAAAACAAAAGATTGTCCGTTAGACAGTCTCACTGATCATGTTCCTTCACTGAGGGCTGTGTGCAGCTTGTGTGGCTGGCACAGGGCAATTGCCCTCCTGACCTTGGGACCCACTATGCCTCCACCATGAATGTGTCTCCCCAGCCCAAACCCAGGCACATGTGATGTCCCTTTCAGAATACCACAATAATCACATGGGAACCTACCAGCTCCAGCCTCACTTAGTTGGGAGGCTTGAGGAATATTGGGGTCTGCGAGCTGGAGCTACAGCCCTGCACCCACTGAGAAGGGCTGTTTCAGAACCTGCACATTCCTCTCTGCAGCACTTGCATGGCAACTGAGCAGCCCAGTGGTCCTGTGTCTGCTCTCTCCTCTCTCCCACTCCCTTGGAGACTGTTCCTCTCCATTGGGCCTTTGCTGAATGATGTGATCACACATCATTCAGGGCAATGTTCTCAGCAGGTCTAGAGCAGATTCCCTGGGGCCTCTGAACATCTGTCTTCTATTGTGTGATCATTCTGGAACAAAGAGAGGCAATCATAATACCCCATGAATTTTGTAAATTGCCTTTTTTCAGAACGTACAAAATTAAAAGACTGTGAGTACCCGCTGATTTCCAGAATCCTTCATGGGCCATGTGAGAAAATCGCCAGGATATTTCTGATGGAAGCCGACTTGGGCGAGGAAGTTCCACATGATGTGAGTGTGGGCTGAGGCTTGGGAGGCCTGCTCCTGAGATAGGGGCTTGATAGCATGGGGACTCTCAGGGGCTCCAAAGGTGACCTTGGCCACAGCCCTCTTGGACATTGTCTCCAGGGACCACATGGCTATCCTGAAGGGCCCCAAGCAAGGTACAATGATGGCTCCAGCTCTCCCTGTGCCTGCCAGCCACTACCAGCTTCAGCAGCTGGAGTAGAGGAAAAAGAAGTTGGTTTCTAGGAAACTATTGCCTGTGCTTTATTGTAGTGTGTTCTGTTGTCATTACATTAAAGACCCACAGAAGGGTTTCTTAACTAGGGCTTAACCAGGGCCTGCAGAACCAGGCATCTAAGTCTTATTACAGCCTGAGTCCTCCTCAGGTATTGAGCATATTTCCAAACTGACAAGAAAAAGCCTATAGGGTTTGGACCACAAGGAGAAGGCCCAGTGACCCTGTGTCCCACAGTCTAGTACATTTTCATTCCATTGTTAGAAACAGTGGTGTCCCTACCACTCCCCACCGTCACCCCAGAAAGAACCCGGTGTGCCTCTGATCACTGTTTAATGCTTTCGCTAATATTTGGCTTAATCTTTCCTCCCAGGGATAATTGTTGCCTTTGAGAAAAGAATGGGCCCATCGTCCCATCCTGGGACACACAGAGCAGTGTTGGGGATGATGGGGAGAGGGGCAGCTACTTCCACAGATATAAGACATTGTTCAATCAGCCACTGTAGAAACCATGAGGAAAAGAAACATGTTTTTGTCTTCTAATTTAAAGCACAATAAAATGTTCTTGGATTTTCTAGGTTGCTCAGTACATTAAGTTTGAAATGCCGGTGCTGGACAGTTTTGTTGAAAAATTAAAAGAAGAGGAGCAAAGAGAAATAATCAAACTGACCATGAAGTAAGCAGGGGCCAGTCATGGGTCCTGACCATCAAGGCAGATCTGCAGGGTAGAGCAGCCAGGGCCAGGGCTGGGAGCACTCTCTCTCCCCGAGATGTGCCAGATGCCCTCACAAGGTGCAGGGGCCTACTAACCCTGTCTTCCAGCATGACCCTCTGGCCCCTGTTCGTTATTAATACCAAGCTGGGTAACAGCTTGCCAAAATCCAAAATGGTAGGATACAGCCCAGACCATACACCCAGCCTCACCACCTTACCAGCACTGGAGGGACACAAGCTGCTGAAAACCATACAGGAGAGTCAGGCGGGAGCATGGGTGGACACTGGACCAGGTTGGGAGTTCTGCTGGCGATACAGCTCTGGAGGAATGATGAAGAAAGGAACTGCTCAGTGCCCATTCAGCCTGGTCTGGGCCTTTTGTGCCAGTGGGAATCTGAGCCTCCCACAAAGGAGTGGTTGTTGGAACTCCCTGCATCATGATGTTTTCAGGTGCAAAACAGTTTATTGGAAAAGTGAGCAGATGTCACCTGCCAGCTCCTGAGGAAGCTACATCAGGGCCCAGCTGTGTGACGTTAGTCAGGTTACATGTCCCAGTGACTCGTCTCTCCCTCCGCAAGGTGAAGCATGGAAAGGACGTATGGGAGGCGCTCAGCTAGGGCCAGGGTCAGAGTTCCTCTTAGGAAGGGAAGGAGGGTGACTGCTTATTTCTAGCACCTGAAGTGAAGGACTGGCTTGGATTCTGGCATCTTTCTGAACCATCTGTGCAGCTAGGCCCCATGCGGGCCATCAGTACAGACCCCAGTCAGAGGGAGCAGTATACAATGCAGTCAGCATTGTCACTGTAGGATTTTGGATCTGGAAAGAACCTGAGACCACCCAGTCAATCTATTCAGGGTACAGAGAGGAAGCAGGTCCAAGGTGAGGAAGCTTACAGCATAGGTGTTTACAGAGCTCAGGCTTGAACCCAGGACTCCTGGTCCTGGCTCTGTGCCCTGTCCACTCCTGCATGCTCCTGTCCATACTGGACAGTATTTGGAATAGAAACAGTAGCATTTAGCTTTGAAGTTTGACAGTGTCTGAAGGCCCATTTGACTGCCTTTGGCAGCCAGTGGTCCCACAGGGTGTGGGCCTGGCTCTTTCCTCTCCTTGGCACAAAACAGGTGGTGACACTAACCAGCCAGTTGGGAACACTGTGTCTCCCAGCCCAAGCATCTGTGGCTTCCTTGCTCTGCTTCCTACCCCTGCACCCCATCCTGTGCAGTGTCAGTGAGTCCACTTGGCTGTGTCTCCCTTCAGGTTCCAAGCCCTGCGTCTGACGATGCTTCAGCGCCTGGAGCAACTGGTGGAGGCCAAGTAAACAGCCAGCGCCTGCCTCTTCCAAAGCTACCAGCAGAGAGTGCATACTGAATGCCAGTGACCAGGCCCTGATTGATGGCCACCACCTGAGGAATCCTGCACCCATGCTTCCACCTGCCTACCTGTCTAAGTAGGTCCTACATAAGTCCTACACCCCTGGCTCTTGGCTCCATGGTGAATGCTCACAGGACCCAGACACAGACATGAGTTGCAAGAACTTGCTGGGTGGGATTCTGGGCAGTAAACAGCCGGACTCTGGCACTAGCCACATTATGTGCCTAGGTGGCGTGACTAGTTCTGTTCATGCCACACCTCTCCTGATTAGCAGAGCAGTAACCTACTCAAGCCCCTGGAGCACAGATGGGCTCCATCTGTTTTTTCTAGTGCCTGGCTTAGAGCTCCTGCAGGGCCACAGTCCCTGTCCTCATGGTCCACATGAACCACGGGATCCCTGACTGTCGTCACTTCATGCTGCCATGCAGGACCTCTGCTGGGAAAAACAGGCTGTCTACAGATATGGAATGTGTCCTGCTCCCAGCCATCACTTCACCGTGGCCTCCAAGCCTCTGATGTCACCCATGAGCCTCGACCAGACCAGTAATGAGACCATGAGTGTCTTATCTTTTCTCTGCAGCACTAACTCTGAACTTCTTCAGCAAGACCAGAAGATAAATGCAAAAAAAGCATGCCAATTTGATCACTTGCAGGAGGTGGCCCACATGGTATTGGAAGTACGACACCCTGCATGAGCAAGAGTCCAGGGTCCAGCGGCTGCCTGGCAGCAGCTCGAGAAAGCAGTGATCAGTCCCCGTGTCCACTGCCCCTCTCTGGGCTGTGCCCCTCTGTTCTCAGTACTTCCCACCAAAGGGGTGCGATGAGGAGAAATGTCAGCTTGAGGAGAAAGGGCTTTGAATTCCCTGGGGCCAAATACTGAACAATTTGGGTTTGTCAGCTGATGGAGAATTTCTAAAACAAAGAAGTCCTTTGCAAAATTATGCAACAGATTACATCAGTCATGGCTGTTTGTCAGCAAGCTGAAGACCAAATTCTTTTTCCCCTACAGCTTGTGGATAGCAGACTTAAAGGGGAAGAACCAAAATGGCTTCCAGTATGGGTAGGATTCCATCTCAGCTTCCAGCAGTGACTCCTCACTGGCACCCATAAAGAACAGAGCTTGGGGCCTGCCATGCTGTATAGACCCACTGTTCAGGGTAAGCTCTAGGCAGGGTGTGTCCCACCATCTTCATTGTCACAGAGGCACAAGAGAGGTGTGAGGTGGCCCTGCTGCAGTTTCTGTTGTCTGCCTTCCTATGACAGCACAATTTCCTAGGTGCTCAATAAAGCTATGCTCTACTGAATGGAAGGAGTCAGGACCAAGCTTTATTTTCACTTTCGTGTGTCCACCCTGAGCCCCTGCTGTAATTTCTGAGACTCTTACCCTGCACAATGTGTAACTGAATTTGGCAGATGAGCCAGAGCAGAGCAGACATTGACATAACTCCTTAATTTCTGTGCATATCCTGGGGATTGGTGTGAGGTCTGAGGACAGAGGCAGCCAAAGGGCATGGGGGAGGAGTCAGTGGTGGGGGTCTGTGCGTGGCCTGGACAGTGAACAGTAGGGTCACCCCAAATCACAGATTCTCAGCATCAGGAATCTTCCAGGTAGGGCCTCAGGTGGGATGGCAGCAGAGCCTAAAAAAGGTAGGAAATAAATTGAACAGGCCTCCCCAGGTCATTTTACTCCCCAGCCCATATTTACGGCCTTGGGTCTAGGACAACTGCCATCCAATGTTTGGCGATAATTAAGTGACTTCCTTGTACAAGGCCTCTGCTCAGCCCTGGAGGGACAAAGACAGAACTACACTCCACTGCATGTTCAGGGGTCTCCTCATCAGGAGAAGCAGGCAGACACCATGAGGGTCAGGGACCAGCAGAGCAGAGATTCAGTGAAGGTTCCTGGAAAGGGGCCTGAGGCTGAAGCCGAATGGTTAAGACTATGTGTGGCATTCTAGCCTGAGAGACACCTGCTGGTATGAGCAAGACAGGGCCTACCACACAGGATGCTATGGAATCAGGAACCCTTCTGTAAGCACTCACTGTGTTTTGTTTTTTGTTTTGTTTTTGACGGGTGGTCAGGGTGGTTTTCTTTTTCTTGGAATTTTTACAATATTATTTAATCCTTGTCTAGATAAGTGTTGCTTTGAAATAGATGTTATCAAAACTAATTTCTGGATATCATAGCTAAGAAACTCACTAGCACAAGAAAAGGGAAGGTATACAGGCAAGGGGAAATGTCCACTTCTACTGTCATCTGAGGAACTACCCATCCTTTTTATCAATGCTGTATTTGCTCTTCAGAGAGAACTTGAAAATCTGCTTCATTCAGCTCACTGTGATTTCAGTTTCAGACTTTCTCCATGAGGTTTAAAGAGAGCTCCAGGTTCCTGTCTCCACAGACCATACAGTACTTCTCAGATGCTCCTTTACTAACTAGTATCTTGGGTAATAAATGTATCCAAAGGTAAAGTAAAGATTCCTGTGAGACCATGCCCTCTCCTAAAATAGGACTGGCTTCCCAGGCCAGGGCTCAGGAACCAGAAAAAATAATTTACACATGATGAAATCAACATGATTGCAAAAGAAAAATTGGACTCAGGAAAAACAGGGTAGTTTGGCCAAAACAAATAGACATAGAAAAACACCTTGTTTTTCCCATGGTGACAACAACATGCTACGTGCTTGGGATGTTTACCAGAAAATGGATTAAAGGCCTTCCCACTGTCAAAACTGCCATTTCCCCAGGAACATCTGGCTCCTTAGTCTCAGGAAATAAAGCACAGGGCTAATCTAGTCTTACCATGTGATTTGTGGAGGACCTGGCAACCCACAATGTGCCCCATGTGGGCCGGGATGTAGGTGCCCTGCAGTTGCAGAGTAGGAACAGGATATCCTTGGCAGGTGTCCCGGCGGGCAGAAGCCTCCCCACCCCCTACCATGATCAGGCAGGGGGCTCAGTCAGAGCCAACCTGCTCCAAGTGTACAAACAGCTAAAAGCACATGCTGTATTTAGACCCCACAGGTTACAATTGTCTGGGAGCAAGCCAGCCGCTGACCTGCTCCTGGACTTACAGCTTGCAGGGTGGGGTTCTGCTCCCTCCTGGCTGACTTCTGAGATCTCCAAACCCAGACAACTCAAGAGTTTCCTTTCCCAAAGAACTCAAATGAAACAGAAAGCAAAGCCTCAGTCTTAGTGAACAGAACCATTGTTCAGGGTGCTTTAATGAGAGATGACCCACTCTTGTTATTGCATTGGGGCCACACATGTGACCAGCATCCCTTGCATTGTTTCCAAATGCAGACCCAAGGCAGCAGCCCTCCCAGTAGAGCCAGTGCTTCTGTGTGTGTGTGTGTGTGTGTGCGCGCGCGCGCGCGCGTCCATGCAAGGGAGTGGGAATGCAGAGGATGAAACCATAGTAAAAGGAAGCTTTCTTGCCAGGATTTTTCTCAGCCCAGAAGCCCATGAGTCATTTTGGTTCCCTAACATCCTGTCTTTGCTGCCCTAACCATCCATCCATTCTACTCTCTTCCCCCATTGTCCTTGTGTTTTGTAAATATGTGTGTCCATTTTTAATAATTTAATTCATTTAAAAGTAACCTGGAACCCCATTTGTGACATACTACTATGTAGAAGTTACAAGCAAAGCCTGTCTCTGCCATATGAATGTGTGACCTTAGGCAAAATACATGCCTCCATTTCCTCATCTGTAAAATGAGTATAACAACTTCCTATCTCCTAACAGCTATGGGAATTATATTAGTTCACTTTGTTGCAGAAATAAGTAACACCAAAAATCTCAGTGACTGCAAACCAGAGCATTTATTTCTCCCTCATGATACAGGTGACTATATGTGGCTACAGGTAGGCATATATATCTCCATTCCATGTATCTTCTCTCTTGGGCCCTAGACTGAAGGAGCAGCTCCTACTTGGGACACAGTATTCTCAAGGCAGAGAGAAAGAACAGAGTGATGGCAGAAACAGTGATTCAAAGCTTCCTCTGGGACATGATAGCTTTGTGTCTACTCACATGCAGTTGGCCAATGCTATTCACACATAAAGTCAACATTAGTGGAATAGGTTGTCATTCGCTAGGAGGCACTGAAAGTCACACAGCAATAAGCAGAGATGTAAAATCCAAGAAGGGCAGAACATATGCTCAGGAACCATAATACCACAGAAATATTGAATGAGATATACTACAAGTGCTTAAAACAGTGCCTGGCACATAATAAGCATTCAGTAAGTGTTGACTATTATCTACTAATAAATAGAAGGCATAAAACTTTGTTTTCTCTCCCTCTCTCCTTTTTCCCCTGTAATCTTTCTCCTCCTTCCCACCCCATAATCTTTTCTGTCTCTTGTGTTTCTCCATCATTACTGCCTACTCTGACCACTCTTGGCTACCCATACCCCTTTATTTAATGACTTTCATCTCTCTCCTTTTTAAAATTTGTTTCTTTACCCATTTCTCTACTTCTTTAATCTATACATCTCTGGGCCTTCTATAGTTGGCCCAGTTGTTTTCAGGTACAGGGAAAAGGGATTATTCACCTTTATGTGGACCTTGAAAAGAGTTGTGTTAAATGGTTGTCTTATTAATAAAATGTTTTTGAATTAATTCTACCTTATTTTACAGTACATAGAACAAACTGTCCTGGCATGTCATTTTTGCTCTTGAAACTGTCAAGCAATGATTGGCACCACTTTTTTCAGTGCCAACAGCTCTCCATGCTTATAGCTCAATAATGAAGCAGCATGGTTGTGGGATAGCATGTCTGAGGCTAGACAGCTCTGTTCTGCTCTTCTCTGCTGCTCCAGCAAGACATCTTCAGTGTTTCACCACACCAGTAAAAGAAACACAGCTTTCCATCTTTGGTGGAAAGGAGCACTGTGTCCCCCAGCCAGAAGGAAGCTGGCTTATACAGAGAAGTCCCCACCTCTGGTCCTTGACTGGTCTGTCCTCATGCAAATGAGTGCTCCAAATCCTTGCAGTTTGATTGGTCTAAAAAGCATTGTCTTGGTTGGCCAAAACGAAACTGCTGTAATTTATCAGTGAAGATGCTGATGAGGGGAAAAGGGGGAATATAGCTATGCAGCTCTGATTGGATGAGGAAAAAAACCTCAGTCCCATTGGCTGAAATACAATTCCAGCAACTCCTTTTTAAGGGCTTGCTCAGAAAGCAGGCAGTTCAGGGCAGACCTCTCCCTGAAGTATGGCTTGTATGAAAGGCCCCTGTTTAGAAAGGGCTGCTAGGCCCTGCTTTCAAACTTGAGCCCAGTTAGCCACCTTGATTCCTTCTTAGTAGGTAACTTCTTTCTCAGGGTCCACACAACTTTTCCTAAGCTATCTCTGACCATTGCCCACCCCCTCCAACTACCAGCATCAACACTTCTAATAACAATTTAATAAAAGTAATAGCAATGGCTCATATTTATGTGTTATGCACTGTGCTAAGTGACTTACAGTATCTCATTTAATCTTTACAACAGTCTAGCTATTATCTGGAAGACTGAATTGACATACCTTGTCCAGGCCTTAGTCAGTTTCATGCTTTCCCACCTGCAGAACAGAAAACTCCAGTTGGAGCTACTCTGGCCTCTATCATCAACTGGCTGTATTACTTCAAGCAAGTCTCCCTCTCTCAGCCTCCTGTTACTGATCTGTATGACAGATATAATGATCCCTGTATCATGAGATCATAGTAAAAACAAATGACCAGAGAATAGATGTAAAAACACTTTGTAAACAATGCGGTATCTTGTAAATTCATTCATTCAACAAATGCTTGCTGAGTGCCTGCTACCTGCTGGGCACTGTTCTTGGCACTGCAGACACAACAAAGAACAAGAAACAGACCATGACAACCTTGTATGTCACTGTGAGGCCATGGGCTTTTGTCCTAATGACATGGGAAACCTATGGAAGTTTTGAACAAAATGAATGTCATGATCTGATTTGGGTTTTAAGAGGATCACTCTGGGGCTGTGAGTAGGCTTTGGGGAGACCAGTGAGGAAGCCATTGCAGTAGTCCAGACAGAGGATGACAGCAGTTTGCTGGTTAGAGCAGTGGAGGTGAAACTGGCTTGATTCTGGACATATTTTGAAGATAAAGCCAACAAAATTTCAATGGATTGGATTTGGATTTTTGCATGAAAAAAGAGGCAACAATGATATCAAGATTTTGGGCCTGAGCAACTGAAAATATGGAGGTGACATTAGTTGCTGAGATGAAGACTGTTGAAGTTATAGGTTAGGTGAATATCGTAAATTCAATCAAGGGTGTCTTAAATTTGCAATGTCCATCAGACATGCAAATAGTGCTGAGTAGTTGACTGGATATACAAGTCCGGAGTTCAATAGTAATCACATCTCAGGGTGGGACTGGAGTTGCCAGTTCAGGGGTCTTCACATATGGATGATATCTGAAGGCATTCGACTGGGAATTGGCAGGGGAATCAGGGTACTAGCGGAGAGGTCTGATGACCAAGCACTGGCCAGCATGGCTGAGGAGGAGGATCCCTAAGGGAGGAGAACCAGGGAGTTTGTTGAAAATCAAAAGACTTTGGGAAAAGACCTGTTCCAATCCTTGGTCGTCCACCTGCGCACTGTAAACTTTAGCAAGCTTCTTCTACGCCTTGATTTCCTGATATGTAAAATGAGTATGATCATTCCGGTCTTGCAGAGGCTTTCTGGCTACAGTGAAATCAGCTGACTCATGAAAAAGATCAGAAATAGTTTAGACTCTCCAAAAGTAGCCCCTTATAATTAGTAAGTGCTCGATATTTGCATAAAGAAGGCCCCAGTTGGGCAGCGCGGACAGACACCACGCTGGCTGAAGTTCACGGGCCACAAACGGAGGGGCCACTGGACGCCTGCCCAGGAGCACGGGGAGAAAAGAGCTAGAAGAAACAGTTTCTTCTTTCCAGGGGACTAGGATCATAGAGGGTCGCTCCGCCACGTTCCTAGAGTGACTGCGGCGGCGCAGAGGACCGGCGGGGCCCTCACTTCCGGTGACTCGGAGCTGGGATGTCTAGGTAGGCCGTGATGGCGGTGGCTGGTTGGGCACGGTGAGTGGGCCCGGGGTTGCAGACGTGTGCTCGGTAGCCACAAGGCGCAAGCTGCTTGGCAGCAGCGGAGCGGCGTGGTCCTAGGTGTCGGAGTGGTGACCTCAGCCTCGGCTCCCGCGCCTTCAGAGGGCTTAAGGCCGGGCGGAGGCTTTAACGGGAGCCAAGCGGTTGGGGCCAGAGGCGGGCGGGCCTGGGCCTTTTGACTTTTCGCGCTGCGCGTTTTGGGACCAAAACATCGAACAGATGTTTGGGTAGTAAATTCTGAGGGATTTACAAATATTGACTCGTTTAAACGCATAACCCCTTTTGCCGTAACTGCTTTATTGTCATTCTAATTTTATGTGTGAAAAACAGGCACATTCCGGTTACCCCTGTTCCCACAACTAGCGGCTCCCATTACTCAAGCTTACCTTTAAAACACTGCACCTGAGTGGAGTGAAGGCCGCTCACCAGTTCCAGTGCTGAACTTGGCGTTGGAAGTGTGGCTGCACATCAGTTCTGCCACTGAGCGGATAGGCTGCTAGGATGGAGATAGTCGCATGACGCTGTGAGTCAAATAGGATAGCCCGGTGTCTGCCATGCAAGCTACCTGTCAGTATGATTTCCTCATCTGTAGAGTTCTAGGTGGATAGATAGTAGTCTCTGAGTTTCCCACCAGTCTGACTTCCATAGCATTTGTGTGTGTGTGTGTGTGTGTGTGCATGTGTGTGTTTTAATGTATAATTATTCTTACTGCCTTTTTTTTTTTTAAACTAACGCCATGAACCTAACAAATGTCTCCTTGTAATGGATGGTCTATAAATATTTACTAAGGTTAAAAAATGAATAGTGATAGCGCTGTAATTTTGTTTTGTATGCAGTTTGCTTTTCCTGATACTTAACATAATTGCAGCAGATATAATTATTAAATATCCAGATAAATTCCTCAACAATATCAAGCCTGAAGTCTCAGTTATACAATTAGATGAAGGAACGGTAGAACAATGATGTCATTTGTGTTTTCAGTAATCTTCTGTAGAAACTTGTATGCAGAGACCCAGGTTAATTAGTCCCATTTTTAAAGTCTATTTCCTGACATATGATGTGGCAAATAGAATGATTTTATTACTTTTGCAGCCTAGCTCCCCTTACATTTTCACCTATTTGAAATGTGTGACTGTTTATGGCCATTATTTTAAATAACCTTGTATGTAAATAAATGAAATTAATATTTTTTAAATTTTGAATTTTTGCAGCATTTGGATATTTTTTTAAATTCCATTCCTATTTTTTACATGTAAACTTTCTCCTCCTTTTCTTGTGTTTTACTTACTACTCTTTTTCCTACTTAATTTCATTTCACTATCCTATGAAAGTTCTTTAAAATTTTTTCTCTTTCAAAACTTCTTGTTTCAAATTTTCAAAGACTTGTTCTCTTTGATCATTCAAATCTAGAAAAAAAATAATAAAGCATTTCTTCATGGACATTTTTCTCATCCAGCAGTTATTGAATAACTCACAGAAACTTACCACTCCTTATAGAGTAGTTCCAACTTTCAAAATAATTATGCTAAAAGTTAGAGCTAAGTTTTTACTTATAGATGTGAAAGTAGAATGGCTAAACAAATAAGGATTAAACAAATATTTAATAAAGTAGTATGATTTGTCATTTCTTTCTAATTTTGACTCCTTAATTAGTCACCAGTGAGTTGAAGTTTAACATGGGAATAAATATTAAAACGTGTATTTGATATTATCAAGGTTAAACTCTGGAAATACTAGAATTATTTTGTACTTTTCCCCAGAATTGTTTTTGTTTTCATATGTATTGAATACATTTTTAATTTAAAAATGAATGCAATTTTGGTGGGTCTACACAGACATAAAGTTGGATTATTAACATCATCTCTAATTTGTTTTTATTTTTTCTCCTACACCCAGAAAATTCTGAGCTATATATCTCTAGGAAGAGGAACACTAATTCAGAAGAAGAGAGTAGACTTTGTTAAGAATACATTTGGTTCTTCACCATGAGGTTAGGAAAACTTAAGGGAGATATTTCTCGGAGCTCAAACCAAGGAAAGACCTCTGAGAACCAGCGCAAAATAGGCCGGCAGCGGCAGAAATGGGGAATGACTGTTCGGTTTGACTCAAGCTTGAGTAGACTAAGGAGAAGCTTGGATGAGAAGCCCTATAAATGTACTGAATGTGAAAAAAGTTTCAGTCAGAGCTCAACCCTCTTTCAACATCAGAAGATCCACACTGGAAAGAAATCCCATAAATGTGCTGATTGTGGGAAAAGTTTCTTTCAGAGTTCTAATCTCATTCAGCATCGACGGATCCATACTGGGGAAAAGCCCTATAAATGTGATGAGTGTGGAGAAAGGTTTAAACAGAGCTCAAACCTCATTCAGCACCAGAGAATTCATACTGGAGAAAAACCCTATCAGTGTGATGAATGTGGCCGATGTTTCAGCCAGAGTTCCCACCTTATTCAGCATCAGAGAACCCACACAGGGGAGAAGCCCTACCAGTGCAGTGAATGTGGCAAGTGCTTCAGCCAGAGCTCTCATCTTAGGCAGCACATGAAGGTGCACAAAGAAAAGAAGCCTCGCAAAACTCCAGGCAAAAATATTAGGTCAAAAACTCATTTAGTATCATCTTGGAAAGCTGGTGCAAGAAGGAAGTCAGTGGCCCGTATTCGCTAAGTAAGAGGTGCTGTTTCAGCCCTGTTAAAGAGGGAAAAAACAAAACAAAACAAAAATAACCTCTCTTTTAGAACTAGAGATACTTTGTAATAGAGCGCTTAAATACTGTATCCTTTCCTAGCATGGAAACTCTGGGAGTTTAGTGACATTGGGTGGAAAGAAATTACATGAGTCCAATGGTCCTCTCATTTCTTTTGTGTAACCAGGTGTGCGAAGAACTGAAAACACGTTTTGAGAGACTATAAGACCCTTGACCTCACTTGAAAGTGCTTTCTGCATAATTTTGACAAAAACAATAATGTTTTAATGATATGTAAAAATGTAGGAATTTCAGTGACTACCCAGTTTTAAGACTTTGTGTTGAAGGGGTAATTAAAAGGGAAAAGAAGTTAATCACATTGGTTTCGGAATTCTGTAATAGATGAGGAAATTTTATGATTGTAAAGTTTTGTAGTGTATTAATCATCAGTTTGTAATTGTGACTTAATATTCACTATATTAAAATTATTCATGTTCACAGTTGTTAAAGGAATAGAATTTCCCTGTTTTTCTCCAAATTCTTAGTAAGAGATGCACAAGAAGTCAAAGTGAAAACTGAATTAGACCACAAGTCTCTTTTTCCTACTAGCACTGTTCTTTGAGATGGTTTTACACTGTGTCAGTTGTTTTCCAGAAGTTGGAGTGGATTTATATTGATACATCCCTATTCCTTTTGACTTCTTTTGGCATTTTCTTGTGCTGTGACAAACAGGTAGCATTTTAAATCTGTGAGAATAAATAATTAAACCATATATTACCAAAATAATCTCAACTTGCTACTTAAAAAATCTACAATTTACACAACTTCCTGCTTTCCCTTTTGAGAGCTTTAGGTAGTCTTAAACAAATGTTTATCAACAGCAAAAGTTATTTAATGCAAATGTCCGTGTATTGTAGCTTAATGTGTAGATTTTTTAAAAGATTTTATTTATTTATTTTTGACAGAGGGAAAGGGAGAGAGAAAGAGGAAACATCAATGTGTGATTGCCTCCCACACACCCCCTGCTGGGGACCTGGCCCACAACCCAGGCATGTGCCCTAGACTGGGAATCAAACCAGTGATATTTTGGTTTGCAGGCCAATGCTCAGTCCACTGAGCCACACCATCCAGGGCTATGTGTAGATTTTGAAATCTAAGTTAAACTTTTCTGAGTTATATGAATTACTAACAGTCTAGCAAACATTTTTCAGCTACCATCAGAACAGTGCTAAGTGTCATTCTGATTAGCAGCCTTCAGCTCCGACTCTAGTTCTGTTGAATGCTAACATTCTTCTAATCTATCTGTATCTTATAATCATGGCAGTTGCTGGTGTACAAATGACAGTTATTCATAAAAATAAATGGAATATTTTGCATACTATAACACCTTCTTACTTATTTTTCTCCTGGGAAATTGTTTTAATGATTTAGGCAACATCTAAAATCACAGCTTTGGAAGAGTCATTTGTTTCACCTGGTTTTGATTTCCTCTGAGTTGAACTTTTCCTGCCTCCTGACATTGTACTCAGGGTAGGTCCCAGAATATGGCCTTGCTGGCAGCAGTTTTATCCAGAAGGATATCCACAAAGTGTTTTGTATGAGGTCATTGGCAGTTACCTTTTACAGAAGACTTGATCTTTGACTGCTTAGCAAGTGTCCTATTAATCACAGTCAAGTCACTTTGAAGCAGGGATATGGCTATAGGGACATTTTGAGGATTTACCATCAGTGATATTTGTAGCAGTTTTATGTCTGGAGTAACTTCTGACTGGGACTAATACCACTTTCTTAAATATAATGAGTTTTGCAATTTTGACATCAGCTACAGGATCCTGCTGCAGAAAGACCTGTGTATTGTTAGATTTTATAATTTACATTTTTATCCTGAATAGACTTATTCTCTGTTCTCTATAAAAATAAAGCAAATACTTTCAGATTTTGATGTATTCCCAGTTTGACTGTGGTTTCCATTTCTTTTTAGAATCATAAAAATGGGAGCAAATAGGTCAGTACACGTGTGGTAGCCTTTTGTGATAAGAACATGTGGCACTGCAGCCTTATTCTCCTCTTAGGGGGAAAAAAATACAGCTGCTCTAAATGAATGAATGAATGGAAATGTTCCACTACTAGAAATTGAGTAATGGTAGAAAGTGAGTCATAAGTATTGTTTCTTTGAATACACTTGTATGAAAATACACTGTCCCTTAATGTTGTGCTGAATTTCCACTGTAAGGTTTACCAAGTTAAATTCCTTTATTCTTCTTGCTCCTTTCTTATACAATCTCTGGATGTTTTATTGAGTGGGGGGAGGGAAGCTCCAAAGTCATTATACTACTGAAATTTCTCCTGTCCTACACCAATGAGTAAAATGGGTGGTTAAAAATCCTTGGCTGCCATATTCTTTTATTCATTCAATCATCTAATAAGTGCGGTAGAAATAAAACTGATCAAGACAGCCTTAGTTGAAAGGAACTTAGGTTAAGTGGGTAAGTAGAGGAATTAGAAAACTATGTAAATAAGTAAAGTAAATGTTACTATGAGAACACATAGGAAGGACCCAGTGATTCTCAATTTTAGCGTGTATCAGAATTACCTGGAGGGCTTTTTAAAATACTGATTTCTGGGCCCACTCCCAGAATTGCTCACTCATTAGGTCTGGGCAGGAGCCAAAAAAACTGCATTTCTAACAAGCTCCCAGGTGATGATAATGCTAGTCCAGGACACCCTTCGAGAACCACTGCTATAACCCATTACTGAGTAGTGATGTGCCAAGATACTTACATAGTACTAATCTTTGATGAGGGTAGGCAGGGTTTAATGATGAAAACTTTGGGCCCTGCCTGGGGTCAGCCTACTTGGGTTTACATCTTAGATACCTAGCAACTGGGTAATTTGAATTTTTGTTCTTGACTAAATTGGGTAAGACACCTATGGTTGAGTTGTGGAGGGAATTAAAAGACAATGTAGAGGGCTTAGCCTAGAGTCTGGGACATTGTTTAGAATTTACTGATTAGCTTAGGTCATCAGAGGCAGAAAAGCTATTGAATCAAACCTGAAATTGTTATTGGCAAAAGTACTACTTCCCATAAACTTAAAGGTGAGATTGTTGGTAGGTTTGTTTTCACTGAGTCAGGATTTTTAGAAAGGGATACCTATAAAGGGCAAGGACCATCTAATAAGTTTCTAAGAGAAATTTAAGAACCTGTGTGAATTTTTGGACAAGTAACAGGAGTACCTCTTAAAAATAGAAGTATATAGCCATGAACACAGTATTTATTCCCCATGCTAGGAAGGTAATTTCATTTCATTAAGGAATATCTGTTGAGCACTGCCACGTATATAAAAAACTGATAGAAAAGGTAAATTACATTCAAAGAAACATTAAAATGTGATGAATACACAGTGTGATTTCCTTTCAAAATGGAACAAATCTGGTACATAAAAGAAGGAAGGGATCTTTAAAGGGATGATATTTTACCTGGGTTGTGGGTTCTATCCCAGGTTGGGGCATCTACAGGAAGCAACTGATTGATGTCACATGCTCATGCTCTCTCAAATCAAACTATCCTCAGGTGAGGATTAAAGATTAAAATAATAAAATTTTAAAAAGGATAATATTTAACACTAGGTTAGGGAATACAAACCTAAAAGTTTGGAAGGCCAGGCAGCTAGTGTACATGAGTGAAATGAGTGTTGTAAGCTGGAATGCCCCTATTTAAAATGATTATCTGACTCAGTTTCAGCCAATTTTTGCCATGCAGAGATTCAGACCCATATATGCCAGCTCTCTTGACTTTTCAAGAGAAATGAGAAATCCAGATTTTAAAAGTCATAACCCTTCTTATCAACTTGCCACACCTGGACTAGATTTTTAAGTATGTAAAGGCTCTGTGTGTAACTATGTGTCGGGGGTGGGAGGGGGGAAGAGGTAGGTGTGGAAGAAGTGGGGGTGGAAGAGGTGGGGGTGGTAGGCAGCGGAGAGGAAGAAGGGGAGAGGCAGAGGTGTATGATGCAGTGTAAGCTGCAAAACACAGAATCAGAACAGCAGCACATAGCTGTCTTACTGGCATTCCAGTTTCATCTAACAGTGTTGTGGGAGATAAGGCTGGAATGGGCCTCCAGGAAGCCTTAAATATCAATCTTTAAAGTGAAACAGATTGGATGCATGAAGGTTTTATAGCATAGGCTATAAGGTGATGATCCAGTGAGACCCATATTGACAGAAGACAAACAACCCCAGAATAGACCCACTTAGCTAATTAGACCTCCAGGGTTTCGTCTCCTGCCTTGGGGCTCTTATCTCCTTTCATTCCCTGCCTCACACGGAATGACAACAACTCCAACCTGCTATGTAACTCTTCTTATTCTGCTTTGACCTATATTTTGAGTTAGGCTCCAGGAAGTTGGCCTTGAACCTTCCTTAGATGTCCTTCCTTTAAATTGAATTGTAATGATTCATGTTTCAGTCTCTCATTCTCCCTCTCTCCTACTAGAATGTGAGATCCTGGCTTATAGTAGTCATTCAATTGAAAGTTTTAATGAAGAAAGACCAAAAGGGAAGAAACACCCAAAGAAGGTTAGAGAAAGAGAAAGTAGTTCTACAAAGTGCCCAGCCTGGCTGTCAGCTACCATGTCTACCTAGCAGGAGAGTTCCACCTAGAACTTTTCATCCCCCATCTGCCACCCTTATCCCTCTTCAGTATTTTCTATTCTCTTGGAGATCCTTGCTCATTGAATAATTCATTCTTTGGCCTTGCACATGGTACATATTTGTTGAATGAATTAAGTAATTAATTAAAGGACAAATGTATAAAATGGCACCAAACTAAGGAATCAGAGATTCTCATGGTCTGAAGGGACCTGGAAAGCTACTTACCTCACCTTTCCCTAAACTAGATGATTATGTTTCAATAACCCAGATTCTTCTTTTATGCTCTATGAATTCTAAACTGCATACACATTGAGTATATATAATTTTAGAAAACTAATGTAATTTCCAACTTTTAAATGGTCTCAAACTTGGTTTTTCTCTTTAAAACTATATCTGGAGCATGTTCAGGACATTGCAAGCCTTTAAACACACACTTAAAAAAAAAAATCAGGCTTATGATCAAACAATTCCAGATCTGCCAACATTGCTGATGTTGTTTTCAGAAGAGATTTTAAGATGGTAATTTGGAGAGACTATTTTCTACATTATCTGAAAGGTAGAGACTTGGATTAAGGATATCACTTGCTGTCACTAACAGTCAAGAGGACAATTAGAATATCCAATTAGAAATAAATGATTAAAGTGGCGTTCTTGATTTGAGAGTACAGAGGAGGAGCAGAAGAGATACTGTGGTGACACAATGGCTGGACCTGAGAACATCGGATTTCAGGTGCAAACCAAAAAGGGAAATCAATGATGAAGGTTTCTAGCCTAAGTGACTGGGAAGTTTGGGAGAGGGGATGAGTAATTTGTTCTTAGAAAATCCTGATCTTGAGATGGTTGTGATAGTATCTAGGTGGAAAAGTGTAACAGGAAATCTAGTATTTGTGTCAAGTGTGGAAGATACTGAAGGAAATTAATATTTGCACCATTTTGTGGCAGGTGCTTTACATACATTAGATATTATATTAGTCTGGTTGGGCAGCCAAACAGGATACCACAGTCTTAAACAGTAGGCATTTATTTTTCTCACAATTCTGGAAGTCAGAAGCCCAAAACAAAAGTCCCAGCTTGGTTGTTTTCCATTTTCTCTCTGAAACTGGGTCAAGATTTTAGTGGCTTGTGGAGAGTACTACTCTGCCTCCTAATTTGTCAAGAGACCTCTCAGGCACAAATTTTTATTTTTTATTTTTATTTTTTTTGGGGGGGGTACAGTGAACTTTATTGATGGTGCATGACAAGGTAGGGCTCCCTAAAGCTCCTCCCCTCTCCAGGGGTTCTAGGATGGAAACTGGAGATCAGGAGATTCTCAGTGTGTTGGGGATCATTTTGAAGCAAGGACTCCCCAGCAGCTGAGGGCCTCTCATCCTGTCACTGGGGCTCGTGGTCCAGGGGGCTCTCACTCCTTGGAGGCCACATGGACCATAAGGTCTACCACCCTGTCGCTATAGCCAAATTCTTTGTCATACCAGGAAATGAATTCGATGAAGTGCTCATTGAGGGCAATGCTAACCCTGGCATCAATGGTGGAGGAGAGGGTATCACTGTGTAAAGTTGCAGGAGTCAATCTGGTCCTCAATATAGACCAGGATGCCCTTGAGGGGTTCCTCTGATGCCTGCTTCACTACCTTCTTGATGTCATCATATTTGGCAGCTTTCTCCAGGCGGAAGGTCAGATCCACAACCAAATCAATGGGGGTGGGGACATGGAAAGCCATGCCAGGGAGCTTCCC